ATATTTTACAGCTTTAAGAATAAAAAATGATAGATATTCAATAGCCTGTCCTTTGCTTACAAGACTGTGATCCATGTGAAAGAAGTAGATAAAAATAAATAGTATGGAAAGGTAGGCGGGGAGGATAAAAAGACAGATATGTAACTTTGATGACTTATGTATTAAAGTCAAAAAATAATTTGACTGGATGATAAATGAAACATTAGACACTTGATCCATCACTACAGACCAAGTAATAAAAATGAACCTTAGAAGTATTCTAGCAAAAAAGTCAGGATATTGTTCTAACACTTTATCTTTGGATGAAAAGCCTTAGGATATGTTCAGAAATAAGAAATTAAACACAACAGAATTAGAATTTAGACCAGCCATTGTACAGTAGCTCATTCAAGGTATATCTGTATTAGGACTCTGAAATCAGTCACTGCAGATTTGTACCTCAGACTTAAGTTAATCATATTTGTTGTAGCTATTTCAGCATCCCTTTATGGAGACACTATATTCTGACTCAAGAATCAGCCTTTCAGAATCTAGAATTAGTAAAATTCTGAAAGAAGTGACAAACCCAGTACCACTTGCATAATAACCCACATGGCCTGGAGTGCAGGTACATCACGTATTACGGCAATTAAGAGCTTATATGTAAAAATTTTTTTAAAGGAAATTTACTGGAAGGAAAAACCTTTTAAGGAACCAAGAGAGAGTGCGGTTTTTGGTACTCTGATACATCTCAATCAAGAAATATTAAATAATAAAATCCAATCATGGCATTTTAGATTTTGAAATAATTTTAACATCTGCAGTGTACCAGGATGGCACAACTCCTTTGGCTAAATTGAGTTCACTCTGGTTGAAGATTTTACCTCTCAATTAAAAGGCCTTGTCACTGATTCAACTTACAAATCTCTTTTCTGCTCTGGATATAATTTTATACAATTTGTATCTTGAAAATAATACATTTCTATTTAGGTGGTGAGTATAATCGGAAGCAACTCAATCAAACGCCAAAGAAGAAATTTAATAGTTGTAACTGCTAAGAGACACAGCTAGGTCATTCCTTAAAAATGCAACTCTTCTAATAAGTTTTTTTCAGAGTTTAAAAATCTAAAAGAGTGGTTTGTAATGCTTATAACCATTTATTGATATTTATAAGAAATACATATATTTAAAGAATACATTCTAGGAACCCCTTAGTGGTGAATTAAACCTGAATTTCTAGAGAAACCAAGTTTGAAAGAACTTGAAGTCAGGAATTTGGACACAAACACAGAGTAGCCCTGTAGTTTGGAGAGCACATCCTAGTGATTTGAACACTACTCAGTTACACCGGAGAATCCATTCATTGTGATTTTCATAGAAGGGATAAAAAGGAAAGCAATGCATAATTACATGGCAAAAGGAAATTTCACTTCCAAACACTTTTAAGTATAATTAATTGTAACAGGAATGGAAAAAGAACATAGTAGGTATAAGTACACTGCCTTAGAGTAGCATTTCCCTTGTGAAGTTTGATTGTAAGAGGCCTGTACTGCCAGGGAGCAGCAATCCTGTGAGGTCGTCAAGGTCTTAGTCTGTAACAAGGCTAAACAGATTCACATCCCAGCTTAGCCACATACTAGCCAGGTAACCCAGCCTTTTGGTATGTCCATATCCTCAGCTATAAAGTAAAATAGTACTAGGACCAATTCACAGGGGGTGTAGTGTGAATTAAATGATGAAACATATTTACAGCAATGGTACCTGGAACACAGTAAATACTCAATAAATACTCCTTTTCCTCTTCTTCTTGTCCTCTCTCCTCCCCTCCACCTCTTCCTCCTCTTGTCTTTCACATAAATAAGGGACAGGCACGCTATTTGATTAGACCTATATATTACTCTAAAATTAGTATTATAAACATGCAACCAGTGATAATCCAGTTAGAGATAAAATGCTATCTTTATACTGGCGCCTCTGAGTTTCTGTATTCAGCCATTTGTAATGGCCAATGCTGTATCCTACTAAGGGGGCCTACACTCATTACAGATCATTCTCTTTATTTAGATTTTTCCATGTTCTTTTCTATAAATTATTTATAGAACTTAAAAGTTCCACTCAACTCTGAAGGCTAATAAAGCTTCTCCCATCAAAGAAGTAGCCTGAAACTTCCAGAGACTCTACCTAGACCTACTTTAAGGGTAGCAAGAAACTCAGTGCACTATCCAGTGACTTAGACTGTCACTCAGTTTGGGGCCTGTGAATGAGAAGTGCTGTTGTGTGCCTCTGGTTAGCGCTGCTCAGAAGTTATTTTATACTCTCATATCGAAGATGAAGGAAAATCTCTTGGAAAGTGAATATATTACCATGTCAGCTGAGGATTCCACTAAGAAAATCAACTACGTTAACCTACAGAAGTGTTACAGATAGATTCAGAGCCAAGGCAATCCGATATCTAAAGGAAATGATGTACGTAAAAGCAGAGTCAGTGATTTCTAGCTTCATATTGACTACCCTCTTTTCCAGAAAATTGTCACCCTCTTTTCCAGAAAAGTACAGACGTCTAAATTAAAATGCTTTTAAGAACAGCCAATTAAATAAAAAACAAAATGTGCTAAATTTCTTTGCAACAATACACAGTAATTTACAAAGATGTATTAGCTGGCATTTAGAAAAATCTCAGTAAATGTGAGAAGACATTTAAATTAGGCATCCTTCTTCATTATTACCCAATCTTGCAAAAATGCTAAGTTGGAGGGGAAAACAATTCTGAATTGTTTTCAACATATTTAATTAACTAATAAAGTCGGATTTAAGTTGGCAATCCTTCCTGCATCTCCATATTATATAAACTAAAAACCAATGAAAGATGCTATCTTAATGAAGTTGCTATAAAAAGTAATGTGTGATGTCTCTTAAGTACTCTTTAGAAGGAACACTTACCTTAATACTGGTCAGGGTGGGCTGTTCTAATTGCAGTTTTAGGAAAAGTACTTTATACTTTTGAAAAGAGTATAGACATATCTGAAGTCTTACTGTAATATTTTTAGAATTCTGATAGATACCTATTCTATCAATAATCTAAATATCATCTGAAAATCCAACAGCTAACTTCCAGTATAACAAAAAGTATTCTATTTAAATCTTGGAATTTAGTTAATATCTCAGAATCAAAAGGTAGTTCTAATGCACTGCATTAAGAAAATCTTCACAGTTTTATGATTCCTTTTGGCATTAAAAGAAAAACTAAGGATTTTCCTTGGGATGATGACTAATATTCTAGCAAGCTATTTCCCCAAGTGTATTTCACAAAACATTAGGTCCATGAGATGCTACATATAGAAAGGTTTTAGCATCAAATAGTGGAGAAATGCCAGACAGTAAACACTACCATCCTGAAATTTCTTTAGAATACATGCTCTTTGAAAGCAGGGAATTTGGTTACATCTTCTTCACTCCACAGCCCCAAGCCTGTAACAATGACTTGCAGTCAGCAGACATTCAACAGAAATAAATGAACAAAGGAACATTAAAAGCTTTGAAGAGCTCTCCAGCAAATAAACTTCTTTCATTTTCTTTCACACAGTATCTCATATCAGTTTTTCTGTAAACATTATAGATTATTTTAGGCATTTTTTTAAATAAGAAAGACAGCATCGAGAATAATATAGCAAGCAGACACATAACCACTACCCATATTAAGAATGAATGAAACAAATACAAAGAAGCCTCTTGGAGACCCCTCCTCCATTTAATCCCTCTCATACTCCACACCCTCACTCAGAATGAGAGCACCCCACATCTCATTTTCACATGACGCTTAGTAACATCCTGCTCTAAGAAATTCTGAATTGTGAGATCACTAAAGTCCCTTTGAGCACTAGGAATTTAATTTATTTCTAGCTAGCATAAATATTGTGAGTAGTCATCTATAAAGCTCTTGACTTAATACAATAATGAGTAAGAAAATCATTGAAATAAAACACTGATACAGAAGCCAGACTATAGACAACTGATGTCATAGTGGTACCTATGAAGAGGCTAAGCAACTTCTCTTTCAAATAGACTGGTATGAAATCAAAAGAATACACACACACACATACACACACACACACACATATGTATAAACAGTGCCCTAAGAAAACACAGAAGTATTTGTTACTTCAGCTAGACTGAGTAATTTAGAAATTGTCTCTACAATTACAGAGAAAAACATACTTAACAATGCAGCAGCAAGAGGCGTCCAGACCGATGTCGGAGTGTGCCCACATCTACAGAATAGATGCTGCTAAGAAAAGGATGCCCCCCTTCCTGAGCTGAATAAACAATTACTAATACAAATCTCTTATCAAGATGCAGCATATAATGATAGAAAAACACATATGAGCTGACATAGTTTAATAGAAAAAGGACTAGTTTGAAAATTTAGGCAATATCTTTCATAGCCTTGTTTTGGGAAAACATTTCTTCTTCAAAATTTCAGATACCATTATAACTCTTTCAAAGTGTCACAGAAAAACATTAAGTATGTTACTAAGTAAATGATCTTTTGCATGTTTAATTATTGTCTCTTGCTTCACATAAAAAATAATAGGGCCTAATAAAGTGTTTTTCCACATTGCTTTATTCTTAATTTTATTATTAAAGGATGTCGAATAGTCAACTTAGTGGAAAAAACAGCTGAACCCACTCCCAGCGCTGTGCAGATAATCACATATACAATGCAACCAAAGACTACAAGCAGCCAAGAGTAGCAAGATGTGTGGATGAATTTTCATTTTGTAATTGGTCACTGGTGTCATATCATTTTATAGGCAAAAACAAGGATTAGAATTTCATTCCACTATTGAAACCATTTTGCTTTTCAAGCCAACCATTGAATTCTTCCCATGTTCAATACCAACAGGGAAGGAAACATAATTTCACTCTATGTTTAGAAGCTCACAAGTTCTTCCTTGTTATTTAAATGAACGAAATGGATTAATATTTAAAAATATTTATAAAAGAAAAGTATCAGTTCCTACCTCCATTATCTTTTAGATGTAGTGCAATCTTGGTATCATCTGGAAGAGAAATTCAAAGTTATTGTAACAGAAAAAAGTTTTAAAGGTGCATAAATGTCATGCCAGTAATTGTCTGCTAATACTTTAATGGTAATGTGAATAGATTTTTATATTTTACTGAGTTAATTTCTAGTTAAATGAGAACAAGTCTTAGCCTACATGATGTACTAAATTTCTTAATGACATTTTAGATTAAGACTTTATAAATTATTACTTAAATGACTTACTGTAATTAGACTCTATAGTTATGGACTTCTTTACTCATTTTTAAAAATCAAGAACAAGGAAATTCTAAATTAATTGCAATAGTAGTGATTTGCCAATATTTATAAATTTAACTTAAAAAAGTAGGTGCTTATTCATCACTCGCAAATATGACCAAAATTTATGAAAAGATCTTGTCTTTAATGAACAAAATGTAGGACATGGTTTTTTATTTGCATGGTTACATTTCATTCTAAAGGGTAGGATTTGAATTGAAGGAGTATTTTCAAAAGATAGGATTCAAATTACAAAAATATTTTCACAGGCTCTATAACAACCCAAAATAATATAGATTAAGTATAATATTGGTTATAAAAGCAACAAAATGTAGTCAGCAGCTGTTTTCCACCTCATTCTATCACTTTATTCCAGTTAACTTTTAATATCCAATCAAATTTCAACTAAAAGCAAAAGTTTCAAATTTAATTTACTTTGTTATTCAAATGAAAGTGAGGTTTACAGCAATAAACCTTTTTATCGCACTCAAAGCTTACTCTTGGCCAATTAGTCTCACATTTCTTCCTAGTGGTTCCATTCAGAATAGATGGTTAACAAATTTTACTTTTTTCCCCAATGAGTTGTGCCCATGCATTAATGTTCTCCAGTATTTTTGCCTTCACTGGCAGAGGAAATGTTTTTCAAGGACAATTTCTGTGACAGACAGAGTGCCCCTCTGTAGGTTATTGACCAACGCATTTTATTGACTGTAGTCAGGCAAATGTTAGAATTGTATATAAGTAGAATTATCTATTCTACTTATATTTGGATTCTGGTTCAGAATCCAAAATGAACAGACATATTATATGCATTTTGCTTTTCTATCCTGTGACTAGAACAGTGAATTGTTATTACTAAGCTTGGCAATATGAAAGGAAGTCTGTATTTCTTTTCTAGGGAGGACAATAGACAAGTCACTATTTAAAGCTGAGTCCTAATGAAGGCACCATAGATAAAAAGAATCCCAGCACATATTTTTAATCCATAATGATTTTGTCTTTTCCTTTGGAAATCCAGTTTGCCAAAGAACAGCTTTCCCTCCAGAAAGCTTCTCCAGCAGGTCAACACGGTGACTTTTCCCTCCATCGGTAAGAAAGCAAATGCGGGGCACCTTCTGTGGGCAGACTGGTGGGCGGCGGGGCGGTGGCTGCTCTCCTGGCGGTCGTCAAGACCCTGAACTCTGTGGTTGTCGCCTGTACAGTTGTGGTGGTTTGTGGAGAACTTTCCACTGGCTCTGTATTCTCACACATCTTCTCTTTTGACTAATAAGAGAAACAAATGGGAAAACAATTTAAGAGTGATGATACATGTATTTTTAAAAATTATGTCGAAGAATCAGGGCTGCAAAGCACAAAAGGCTTTCAAATCAAGATGAGATTAAATTATTTTTGTGCAGGGCAATATCTACAGATTTTGATATTTATAATGTACGTAAAATGGAGGAGGAAAAAAATGGGATGTGACAAAGGAGTTCCATCTTTAGGTATTTTGGATCTCATCATTTCTGCTGTTAAAAATTGCCATTTTTCTTGCCCTCGATTTTGTATGAATGTATTTATGAAGATGTGATGTCAAAAGGGAAAAGTTTATACAAGAAGAAAAGCATGTACATAAAAATAAAGCTTAAAACATGCCGAGGACACCAGGAAAAGATGCACATCTACTTTTTACTTATAGGTCACAAAAATAAAATAAATAAATAAACCTTCACCAGTAACCATCTCCCCATGCAAACTTTCATGTTTTAGAAGGCAGCAGTCTCCCCACCTCTTTGTGCTTCAAGGGCTCCATCCCTCTGGTCAGCCTGGAGTAGAAAGATAACTAACTATTCTGCATGTTGATGGCACTCATCCCAATTTTGAAAATTATTATTAATTCACACTTTTCTTAAACTTCTCTTGTCATTGATGAAGTACAGTGCACCTCACTACTGGTTCATGAAGAGCTTGTCAGATGCTTTCTTTTTACTAATTGGCTAGGATACAGGTTTATTGCCAATTTCCATACCCAACATCTTGGGGGACTCATTCAATCCCGCAGATTTCAGTTCCTACATCTTCTCAGCTCTGTGATCACTGACTCCACTTCAGTTATCATCCCCAGAGCCCTGACTGTACCTGCAGTTGGAAAGGTCTGAAATTATGAATTTAGTTATCCTATTTTCAGTCTTTCCTCAAATTTTTCTTATCCCTCAATGAAACAAACAACCCAGGCACAATGATTTTCTTCCTTTAGTCCCTTTTTCTCTCCACTTCAATCTTTTTTCAAAATCTTCAAACATTTCACCCTGCTTTGTTTTTCTAACATAACACCTTTTCAGAAAACCCCCAATATTGATGGAGTAAACAATCTGCTTTCTCCCTGCCTGCAGGGAAAAGCCAGGCACACAGCCCCTACGGGGAGCTCTCCAAGTGTATCTGCTACATTCTCCGCAGGCCTGCAGGCTGCCTGGCAATATTCCCCTGCTTTGCTCATCTCTCCCATTTTCCTCGGGGTCAATTTCAAACCCTATCCACTTTCTGATCTTGGGTTCCACAACACACACTCTCATCACTGTTCTGATTCCTCTCAACCACACCTTCTTTATTTCCTTTTATTTCTGTCTCTTTGATGTGTTGGTCATTCTTACAGATCTTTCTTCACCACGCTTTTTGCTATATTCATTCTTACTAGTGATTTCTGCCACACCCATGATTTTGGTGACCACCTTTATACTGATTATTCATGGATCTATACCTCCATCCACACTTCTCTCTTGGATTTTAGACACAAATATTCACCTATTGACTTAACACATGCATGTAGATGCGACAGACTTCTCAATCTCAGTAAGTCTAAAATGCAACTTGCCACATACTATATTCCTCCTGTGTTTCTATTCTCAAAGAACAGTATTATCAAGAACTGTAATGTCTAAGATAAAGTCTTTGTTTTGTTTATGGCACTAAAGGTAGACTAAAGACTATAAATGGTCCTCCTGCTACAAAACAGGTAGATTCTGGATAAAATGTGAATGTAAAAGCATTACTAGGTTTTGCAGGAAGTAAAGAAAATCTCCAGGGTGTCTTTCTATTGTCTCCCCCATAAAACAAAACAAAGCAAAAGCTCTGTGCTGTAAAAAGTTAGGAACAATATACGTGAAGCAAAGTAAAAAAGCAGGGTTTGCCCAGAGGAGAAAAATGTCCAAAATCAATATTGCAATAATAGCTCCTACCTCATAGGATGGGTACAGAATACACTGATAATACATGTAGAGTTAGGCCCGATGTGCGGCACATGGAAGGGTCTCAATAATTGCTGGCTTAGTTGTGTTAAATTAGATAACCACTTCCATTAAACTGCAGCAACTGCGCATGCCAGCGTGGTCCCAGGAATCCTGTCATATAAAGCACATGTGTACCTCCTCGGGACATCCGCTGTCCACCCAGTCCTGCCGATGGCGGTCAAATCCACTGGAACATCTTCAGAGAAGACAGTGCAGTTCAGAGAAGAAAGCCCGGGGTGCAGAGTTGGCCGGAAGAAATTAAAAGGAAGAGATTGGTGAACAACGAATTCTCAGATCATAAGCATCCTTTGCTGAACTGTTAACTGGAGCGGCAGTGCAGCCTCCGGGTTATGACTCACTGCACAGAGGCCTCGTCCCTGGAAACGTGCAGCAGCGGATTAGGATGACTCCACTGAAGCCCCGCACTGGGCAGGGCGCCGGGACCCCACGCAGAGTGGAGACCAGTCGCCATTCTATGAAGTGGGTTTTCTTTCTCCACATAGTGATTTTTTCCCATCACCAAAGCAAAAGAAGACAGACACACATTTTGCAAATATCATCTTTCAGGATATCAGAGCTTTTTATTTGTTTTTCTTGATTTTAAATTAGATTAATTAAAAAGAGTTACACTAACTCTTTCTCTATTGGTCAATGAAGGGTTAACTAAGTTTGGAGGGTTAAAACCCTCACATCCCCAAAAAATAACTGGCCCTTGTCTGGCTCCTGGAAGATAACCTCTAAGTCAGAATATCCTGCCTAATAAGAGTTGTCTTTGTATGTCTTGGGTCTTAGGCTATGCAAAACAGTTTTGTGAACAATACCGTTTGTGGTGAATGTCTGTTTTATCTACCTGGAGTCCTGGGTCACGCTGTATCAGTTTGACTTCTTGGGGGGACTGGAGAGGAGAGGTAAGATGAGTCAAGGGCAGTTTTATTCATATTATGGGACTGGCCTTCAATAAAAACCCTGGATACCAAGAGTTTCCTAGGCTGGCAGTCCTGGGGTGTCGTTCACAAACGTCTGCTGGGGGAACAAGGGCTGTCTGCACCGGGAGTGGACAGCTGGAAGCTTGTGCCAGGTCTCTCATGGACTCTGCCCTAGGTGCTTTTTGTATTTGCTGATTTTAATCTGTACCCTTTCCCTGTATGGCAGCCTTGAGTCCTTTTAGTCAACCTGAACCTGAGCATCCTCTAGTGGATCCCCGCGGCACTGTGGCTAGGTTCTAACAGGTCCATTTTAGCAAGCATTGGGTCAGTCTTAATTCTGTTCATGCCTTCTCTTTTCCTTAGCTGGAATAACTTTCTGCCTTCCCTATTGATCCAGCTACAGGCCATTCATTTCTCAAGATCCAGAAATTACTGTCCAGAGCCCACTCTGACACAGCTTCATAACTGCTGTGATCACATCTTACTTTGCTATTTAACTTTTCTCCTTTACATAAAATTTAATATGCTTATGTCTTATTCACTGAACTTTTTGATTGTGGACATTGTAAGTGAAAGTCAGAGTTATATATGATCATACCTAGTATATTTGATGTATAATTTCTTTTTCATATTAGAAATTCAAAATATTTTTGTTAGCCTATTACATTAAGGATTTACCTTACTCTTGAATTTCAATATCTAAGTATATATTTATCTATAATATATATGAATCCATATTAATAAATATTAACATAAATACATATTATATATTTGTCAAAATAAATGGAGGAGATTCAACTTTTGTATTTCCTTGAAGTGCTACTTTGCAACTTTTTTTCAATGGATTTTGCAATGTTTCCACATGATGACTTTTTCTAAGGATTCTTGCCAGAGATTATGTACCATAGCATGAATGAGCATAATTTAATTCAAGTGGAATGTGAAAACAACTTCTGCCATCAACAAAACGACCATATCTTTTTGCCCAGACATGATCCTTTAGAGCTCAGCTATTTTGTGCCTACCATCTGTGTGGAATAAGCTGATGTGTGGAATAAACATCAGTGTGTGATCTGGCTTCCCAACTTTGAGAGGCCTGGGTTGGTCAAGGCCACCTGTGGTTACCCAAGGAGATTGTGATGTTGGGTGTCTATTTAATTCCAAATGAGTTAGATGTTGTTCCCTCTTCTCCTTTTTTCCTTTTGTTTTTGCTTAAATAATGAGAAATGGACTGACATTCTGTTTTGCAATGGGGACATACCGATTTTCTACAAAAAAATATATATTTGGGGAGCTACTTGATCACAAGTAAATAAATGGAACAGATAATTTTTAAAACGCAGTTTACCATCACTTACTCTATTCCATGTGTATTCAAAGCTAGTGGGGAGAAGTAATTTTTGCCTTATAACAAGACAACACCATATCTTAAATGTAAGGATTAATGGAAATTTTAAGTGCTTAGTCCTTTAAATCATTCAATTAATCTTAAGGAAACAGAGAAAAACAGCATTTTGCTTGATTTATTAAATAATTCCCCTTTTATATTGTGTGAAATTAGGCTCTGCTGAAAATACATTGTTCAATTAAGTAATTCATTCATTTACTTATAATTGATTCCCTATTAACTGATCTGCAGTTTACTAATTGCTAGGGAGGGAAGGATTGATCAAGAATGGCAAAACACAAAGAAGATTTGGTTTGAAAAGCTCATGCATTTTTGTAGCTTACAGTGTCTTAAAAAATTAACACAAATGAATACGGCATTTTTAGCATTTTTTTATAACCTAGTCATCTAAAGAGCATCCGAAAGCAATTATAAACAAAAGGGTGTGTCTGTGTGTTACAAATCATTAAGAAAAACCACCTTTATATTATTTCTGAATTCCAAATGACCCAGAAATCACTTTTGAGAACACCTTCCGTTCTTCACTGAGCTGCTGTGTTGTTTTCTCTAAAACACAATGATGTTAACCATGTCAGACACCAGCATATTGATTTCCTAACATGCATAACAGTGTTAGCAGAGGTTCTCTTGCACTGGAGTCCCCTTGTATTCCTGCTGAAATGCAAATTCCTGGGTCTAACTGAGTAAAATTCTCTGGCAATCTGGGTTCAGCAATTTGCATTGTAAACAAGTACCCCATGTGATTTTTACCATGCCCAAACCCAAAAAGCCCTTACTTCCTGGGTGACATGTCAGTGTGATATGGCAGGGCCCTTCCCCTGCTCCTGCCTGTCATCCACAACCTGTGCTCTTGCCCTTGAGGGTGCTCACGCCTCTGGACTCCTGCCTCCTGAACGTGCTGTGCTCTCATGCCTCTGCCTTTGGACATGTTGTTACTTATGTCTGCAATACCTTCCTCATCTCCAATTCATCTCCAGGCTCATCTCTTCCACGAAGAGTTCGCAATGCCTTCTCATTCCCCCCTTCATCCATTCCCTCGTCAGTCCCCCACCCCAGAAGAGTTAGCAATGCCCTCTCAGTGGCCCCTAATAGGATATCAAGTGTTAGCATCTCTTACTACACTACATTTGGTTTCTTTTGAACATATAAAACTTTGGGGAGAACATGGTTCAAATGAAGGTTCTGGCTTGGGTACAAAAGAGGTGTGTGATTTTAGGCAAGTAATTTTTCCCATCTAAGCTTGTTTCTTCATCTGTAAAATGCAGGAAGGGAGGTTATATAAGGATTAAAGAGAGAGTGTTTGGTACACAGTCAATATATAGTAAATATCAGCCATTTTTATTACCTAATTAATGTCTTTGTAGTTTACATATAGCTGTGGAAAAGGAGTGAGAGTTTCCTTTTGGAAAATGTTTAGAAATTAAGTCTCTGTACTATATTAACAGTAGATGTGTTTTATACCTAAAGTCCTTTATCATCATCTTTGGGAATTAGTACTGCATAATTTTACAGGAGTTAGCTGTCAAACATAGGCCAAGTCTTTATTCAGTATTTATAAATAGAGTATTTCATGGCTTTGTAAAGATTCCTCGCAAACTAATTTCAATAAAGTCTGAACTACCATAGGTTTTCAGTGTTTCTATTTTTAAGTCACTCCCTTCTTACTATTACCTAATTCCAAAATAAATTGATAGGGAGCTATACTTCACATTAATTGTACTATTCTCCACTCAGTCCCAATGGGATATTGGTTTCAAAGCCTTTAGGAACTATGTGAAGTGAACCCCATCAAATAAGGTACCTAGAAAACAAACAATATTCTCCTAGCTTGCAGAATCTCACCAATTGTAAGATTAAAATGTAAATCTCATCTCAGTTCTGTAGAAAGAATTTCAGAAATATGACTCATTTTGCCAGAGTAATATATTGAGGTGAAAAAACTATAGTAAATGTTAAAATATATGCATAAGCAATATATAAGTATTGGAAATGAAGTGCCTGTCTTACTGCACAATCGAATGTGTGTCATTTAACCAGTGAGATGAAATATCTGCAAGAAAAGAATTAGGAAACTTTATAGAATTTTAAGACCTGGTTAAGAATTAGTTCCCAGATCAGGAGTTAGCAAAGGTTTTCTGTAAAGGACCAGACAGGTAACATTTTAGGCTTTGCATGCTATATAGCTTCTGTCTGACTTACTCACTCCTGCCATTGTAGCTCTAAGTAGCCACAGACAAATGCCTAAAGAAGTGGGTGTGGCAGTGTTCCAATAAAACTTTATTTAAAAAAACAATAAGTGAGTCAATTATGGCCCACTTGCTGACCTCTGTTCCAGATTACATAAAATATAAGAATAATTTTAAGATCTTTATATAAAAATAAAGATCTTAAAATTCTGAGACTTCTGGGCAAACATCTCATCAAGCTGTCTAGTAATTTAAATCATCCTTGCAGCCTTAGATCTATTCACCAGAGTGTGCTAAATAATGGAAAAATCAATTGTACATTTAATCCTCTTGCCAAAGTCTGCAAAAGTGTGGAAAATGATCCTCAGGCATCAAATAAATGGGAAGATGGCTTAAAAAGAAGCAGGAGTATTTTTGATGAGAAACAAGTATAATGATAAACAGCTGTGATTATAACTGATAACACTTTTTATCATTAAATAAAAGGTTAATAGGTAGTATTGAGCTGTAACATATGGGGAAATAATTGTGTTTTGAAATACTGCAAAAGTTTAATTGGAAAGGTAGGTCATAAAACTTAAAAATTATAATCATCATTATAATTTTTCATGCTGGAGATCTTTCTTCCTCTGAGAATCCCCTCCTGATGTCTGGTTTGTTTTCAGTTTGGCATGTG